TTTATGTGTGTGTCATATAACCTAACCTGAATATATTCTATATATCCCCCTTTATAATTTAAATTTTTCTATAATTTTTTTATAACTTTTTCTACTGTGTTTACATGAAGTCTTAAAAATATTATCTGAAAATTATCTAGATGACTCATCATAATTTTATCTTTTATCTAGATATATTCAAAACGAAATCATCTTTATCTTATCTAAGATAAATTTATATATTTTTATCTTATCTTTATCTAGCTAATTTTAAAATCATCTATGCACAACACTGCTATTAGTTAACCCTTTGAAGCATGGTGGTAACCTACGGTTACCACTTCTTTACTTTTTCGCCATTTAATTTCTAGTTAACGCATGTAGGTCGGGTTTTTTTGCATTTTTTTGGGTATCTTAGCAACAAAAGAACATAAGAAAAGTTGAGCAGTCTTTAATATTTATTGTAGAAGTGTTTATAAATGAACAAATATGAAAAAACAGCAATTTTTCGGAAAAATTAATTTATTGACCAAGTTTTTTAAGATTATTTCTTGATAATTTGTGACTTCGAAGTTAGGTTTCAGACGTTATGGGAGCGTTAATCAAACTGTACTAATAGAAATGCGACGTGTGAGCCGCATTCGTGAATTTTCCGCGAATAAAAATTAGGTCTCGCGGCAATGGGAAAACGCACGGAAATGAAAAACCTATAGACAATGCGCAGTCTATGCGATTTGCCGTTGAATAAAATAGGATAAAATTGCGCGGGACAATAGCTCGCCCTGTTACGTTATTGCGTTCCTGCAGCACAAATATTCGATCGTGCGCGCTGATATTTGCAAATAAATTTTAAGCCGCCGCTTTAACGTCGTTCAACGGGGAACAATTAACGTTAATAGATAACGAAACGCTTAAATAACCGATCGCGATGTAAAGACCGTTTTGCGCGCCGCCGCTCTCGAATATCTTATTTAAAAGCGAGCAACAATCGCGTTAACGGGGAATAAAAAAAAACACTCTCTCCCGCCCCCCCGTCTGGAATAAAGTTAAGCAATTAAAATTAGTAGCGCGCGCGAATACTCGGCGGCCATTGTAGCAACTTTCGGCGCGGATTGAAAGGCCGGTTTAAAATGCTAATACGTATTAAATCGTCGACACAATCGAACGCTTATTTAAGCGGCTTAGCGGTAATCCGCCGATTCGGCGGTCGTGCAGTAAAGCACAAAGCTGGGAAGTTCAATCTGCGGGCGCGCCAAGGCGAAAACCTACAATTACTGATCGATAGATAGAAGGGGCTTCTTTTTGCACCGCAAAAGCGGGGGATGAGGGCCAAAGGGTTGGGGAACGCAGATCGGCGCTCGCGGTTATCGGTGATTCACCGGCTCTCGCGCCGCTTTCCCGGAAATGCGGATTTACCGGGGGGGGGGGGGGAAGAGACAGACACGGGCGCTGACTTTCACGGCGCTCCTTATCGCGCGGAGGATGAGCCCGCCTTTGATACCGAATCAATGAAAAGTTTGCGGGGGAAACCGCCGGCGAACTGTCTGTCCGCGGACGATGATTGATACGAGATCCCTCCGCTCTCCCGGCCGGAGAACCGCGGCCCTGTCGCGCCGCGGAAACCGCACGCGCCTCGTTACGCGATCGAATCGCGCACGATCGCGGATATGAAATCTTCCTCGAGCACGACGTTCCCGATTCTCCTTTCGGCCTGCGTATGAAGCCTGTATAAGGAGACCGAACTCCCGTAATCAGAGCATAGAACTTATGCACACGGAAGGGGAAAAGGAGCCGCACAAGTGTGTCCGAGAAGTGAGACAAAGAAACTATTTTCTCTCTCGTTTATCTATCTGTCTTTCTATCATCCTGTTTCGTTCTATGACTTTTCCTCGCACTGCCCCATACAGCACAGATGGTTGCAGTTACATTGCAGAAACGTTGCAATCTTGCAGATTGCAGTGCAATCTTGCAGAGACATTGCAGGGATATAAAATTGCAAACTTTCGATAGCAATATTGCAGCAATGTTTGAAAAATAATAAAAATACTATACTTTTTATTTAAAAAATTTTTCTAATTACGAGAATTTTATAATGTTATTTTCGTTGATACCAATAACGGGCGAATTATTAAGTACTTGATCAGTGCGGTGTTGCTCGCAATCTCCATCTATTGCGAAGTGACATAATCTCCTTAGGTTGCTTCGCAATAGCTTGCTGTGTATTGGAAAAGGTCCGGATGCATATGTAATTAGTAAATTCTCTGCTTATGTACAACAAATTATTCCAAAAATATTGCACCGCAACATTGCTATAATGTTGCACTGCAATCTCTCTGAGGGCGGACATTTCAACGTTGCTGCAATCCTCCAGAAACGTTGCAGCAGTGTTGCGCAACGTTGCTGCAATATTGCAATCTTGCAATGTAACATTTCTGCAATCTTCCTGCAATCTTTCTGTGCTGTGTGGGTGCAGGCTTCGTGGGCCTGCATTACGGCTGGCCGCGGGTGCCGTGGCGTCGTTACCGCGTTTCTCCGCGGACGTTGTCGCCGCGCGGCACACGTGCGTCGACCGTAAAACGTCCCTTTGATGCCACCCTCGCGGCTCTTCCACTACGCATCCAATCGAGCGTACTTTTTCCTCGGCCGAGATCCCGTTTATCGGCGAGCCGCACCGCCGTCACTTTTCAAATCCCCCCCCGCCCCGGTATATCTCGCTCGTTGTCCTCGTGAAAGAACGCGGCGGCTCACGGTTTATCGCGCGCCGTTTGATTCGCCCCCGTCGGGGGATGCTTAATTTCTCATCCGCTGGATACGTTCTTCATCCCGCGACTAACGATTTCTGATAACGCGCGGCCGCGGGGGGTCGCGGCGAGAAACGAAAGAAAGTGCGACGACCGCGCGCGGCCGATAAGGGGCCGCTTGACAAATGTTCGAAAACCGGCGCGAATCGATATCGGGGCTCTCCGCGGTCTAGACGTATGCCCGCGATAAATCATACATCACGTTAATATAATATTACCATCGTAACTCGGTTGAATCACTTTTTGATCGCCCTCGCGCAAATTGCGCGATCAATTTGATAATATAATACGACCGTACGCGGGCTGACGTGGTTGTCAAATCTTTCGGATAATCCCGGCCGGCGGAGCGTAGGCCGGGATCTCGAGAAAGCGGGGCGGTGTAACGAGGAAATTAATCACGCGTAAAAATAAGGACGGCGACGCACGATTAAAATGTACAATTTATCAAAACGTTTGACGGGACGAAGAATAAACACTATCGATCCCACGACTCGCGACCGTTGAAACACGTTTGAGAATGTTAATTTATACGTTGGACGTATCGAGAGAGGTAAGTTTTAATTTGGATTAAAACGAATCGGGATCGTCGGTTAATTTGCAAATCTATGCAAATGAACAAAATTGTAATGCGGACAAGAGTATGAACGCGTTTCCCGCTTTCGCATATTAATAATAATAACAACGCCCGTTGACTGAATGCAAGTATTTAAAAAGTTAAACATTCCTCAAGGCTGCCAGCGATAAATAACACAAGTTTTTTGTCAACCTTAGCTAAACGCAGGTTCAATATATAATAGAAATAATAATACGATGTTTCGACTAGTGGTCTTAATTATTCGAAGCTTCGGAGGTTCCGAAGAAACGAAGAAACTTCGAATATCACATTTTTCAAGTTTTCAAATTTTTCGAATATTCAAAGTCAACTAATGCATTAACATATCAATTTTCAAAGACCTGATTGTATCACCTGTATTGGTGACTGAAGGTAGACTATCAAACTTATATAGATGACAGTGAGGGGAATGCAAGGAGTGAGAAACTTTTATACCCGGTTTATACACCAATATTATAAACTTTATTCGTCACGCATAAATCAAAAGATTCCAATTCAATGATTAACTAACATTTCGTATATTCATTTAATTGCACTACTGTCCCTATCTTCTATTCTCGTGTTTCGAATCAAGGCAGTCGGTCACAATAAATAAATCTAGTCAGTCTCAACGGTCTCTCGAGGATCAATTCGCGATGACGATCAATTGTTTTTTTTTAGCGAATGGACAAATATGCGTCCGACAAAAAGTACGTCTGTTTTTTATACTTTATAAGGACATTAATTAGTTGGCATTTAATTAGCTCGCAGTTATAATAAAAACGATTAATTTTGCAAAGTTTGTTATGGTTTTTATCTTGTTAATACATTAACTGACTTCGAATATTCGAAACTTCGAAAATTGGAAACTTTAAATCTTCGAAAATTCGAAACTTCGAATCTTCGAAAACTTCAATTCTCGAAGAATTTCTACGAAGCTTCGAATCTTCGTAGAAATTCTTCGAGAATTGAAGTTTTCGAAGTTTTCGAATCTTTGAAGATTCGAAGCTTCAAAATTGAAAATCTTCGAAGAAAAATCCCAGCTCTAGTGTTGACCTTTAGTTTAGGTCCTTCTCAAGCAAGATTTAAAGAACATACACGGAAACAAATGATGTATCGGCAAGATCAGTATAATTGAAATAAAATCGTTGAAACATCAACATTAATGAATGAAAAACATCAGATCGTTGTCTTAATAATCTGAATATTTAGTTCAATGCTTAAAATTAAAATCCATAGCAAATACAATTGAGTAAATGTTAACGTTTAATTTAAGCAACTTTATTATTTTAATTCAACAGCATCTTTTCCCGTGTAGAATCGGAATTGCAGATATATTTCGAAAATTAAAAAGATCGGAATTCTACAATATTGAATCGGAATTACATAAAAATGACTACATAAACAGTACAGAGAAAGAAAAATGTAGCTGCCGGAACTAAAAACTGTAGCAACTACATTTCGGTTGTAAAATGTAAATAACTAATATTTAGTTGTGATAGCCAAATATTTTGCTACTGTGCCTACTGTATTAGGTGCAACAGCGAGCCGTTAAAAAATGTATAGTTATGGCAGCAAAATATTTTTAGCAAACCACATGATTAGCTACGGTAGCGAACTTTTTTTTTCAATGTATACAAATGGTTAGTTAGATCAGTTTCAAGCGAAGTGAAAAAAAGTAACAATCGAGTCGGGAATTGCAGTGAGATTTCGGCATGAAAATTGATCAGCGTTACAAGTATTTTAAATGTTATACTCACGGTAGAGCTTGATACTGCCGTCCGTCTCGCCGAGGGAGTTCTTAGATATGCATTTGTAGCTGCCGTAATCGGATATGGCGACCGAGCGTATCATGAGCTTCATGTGCACCTTGTACACGTTGTCCGAGAAGGTCGGCTCGTACTTCTCCCCTGCAATTTGACAGACGCTCGATTTACGCTCCCTCTTCGCTTGTAAAGTTAATACGCGAGTACATTTTCCTCGCCTGCGTAACAGGAGGGCGTTAAACTGGCAAGGTGTTGCACACGCGTGCGAGCCTCAGATTGCAAACTCGACCGCGGAAGCTTAATAAATACGTCAGGCGAGATAAAAGATGCTTCTCTCGCCTTCTTTGTTCCCGCTAGAATTATGGAATTAGTTTTAATCTACGGTGAAAGCTGGTTCCGTTGAAACTGGAACGTTTTACAGCGGGAGGGACCCCGGGGCTGACGCGACGGGGATGTATCGCTCGGTGTGCATACACACGAGCCCGAGCAGCATCGGTCCTACACATCCAACGCGGGTGCTGGTAGCTTACGTCGCCGCAAGACACGCTCGCTTCATTAAAACATGACTCGTCATTTTAGGCGAGCTCATTTAAAGCTTAATTACATTAGCGCGCGGCGCCGCGTGTTGCGTCGACGCGGATTAATTTTTGAAAAAGCGCGCCGGTTCGTTACGGGTGCGTGCGCGCGATTATCGCTCTCGGTGCGGCTGACGGATACGCGTCACGCGCTCGCATTATCGCGTTTACATTCGTTATTGTTGTATCGGCGGCCGCGTATTATCGTAGAAAATTGAAAGTAGCGGACGGGCGCGCATGTTTTCGATCCGCCGGACGGGATATGATATAACGATATTCCAAAATGTATTTGCCAATATCCCGCGCTTCCGGTACGCCTTCACGCTCCACCGTGCTTCGTGCTCTGTCGACCAGAAAAACTAGCATTAGGGTTTCTCGCGCTGGTGCACGTTGCCCTCCGCTCCATATTCGCGCGCCGGGCCCATACGTCGCGGCCATTTAAATTGTTCCAAACGCTTTGTTTCTCACCTCGTTATTTGCGCCTCTCGCAAATCGACGCTAACTCCAGGGCGAGCATTCTTTTTTTTTCTCGAATTGCGAGAAACATACGCGCGCTCGTATGCAATGCGCTTCGTGTCCCTTTCTAAAAAAGAGATGTTACCAGCGCGAATTCGTTAATATCGAACAGTTGAGGCCTCTTTTCCGCGATATCGATTGGTTTTCTCGAAGCGCGGTGTGCTTCACTTCTCTTTTAGATTCATAGCGAATGCAGATTTGCAATTTAGCAATATACATTTGTATGCATCAACTATTGAAGTAAAACCTCTAATCTTAGTAATTAGAATTTAAGTAACAACGATTTTCGTTTCGAAACATTTTCTCGATTGAACAGAATTAATCGTTAATTTAATCAATACCAATAAGTCCGCAGAATGATACGCAAAACGTAGTAACAGCCGCGGAACAAAGTAATGTAAAATATTAAGTACGGAATTTTCCATTACGTAGGCGGATCAACGAGTTCTCAACGTTTTTTTGTTGTTTTTCACTCGACGCGGTATCGCACGACGTTACGCGGGCCAGAGTTTACCTGAAGGTCGCCGCGCTATCACTCGCTCGCCGAACGTCGAGCCGGCAAGCAGTGGCGAGAGTCGCTCCGTGCGTGTTATTACTTTTGCGTTATCGGTTTCCAAGACTCGATCGCGATGAATGCAGGGATAAAACACTATTGATTTGCACACCTTTATCAGTAACAAGTAACGTTCCTTGATTAATCGTTAAGTTTTTACAACTTGCAAAGAGAAACGAATTGTATATTGAGGCGACGGTTCTTTATCAACGTGTACCTAGATATTTCACGAGATTAACTCATCTAAAATATGAATGTAAACCGTGGTACTTTGTCGCGGTTACATCTCGTTTACGCACCGCGCTTTCAATTATCTGTCGATTTCGTGTAATCTGTTCCATTTTCGGGAAAAAAGAGAAATTTGTACGACTTCGCTCTGTCGTTCTTCGCAACTCGAACGGGCGGGAAGTAAAGAAAGTCGCTTATTGCACGTTGTTACATTATTTCTTTGCCGCAGATTATGCTTCCGATGCTCGCGTTGCGTTTTATATCGCCAATTCGAAAGTGATTTATCCATTATCCTATTCTTCCGAATAAAAAATGCAAGTTGTTAGTTTGAGTAATTTGTGTGACAGAAAGTCTTGGAAACCTATAACGCAAAAGTTAATAATATTTCGTGTGTTCGCGGTATTTCACATCGCGTACGGGAGTGCCGGAGATTTCGCGCGATCGATGATTTTCGCGAGTGAGGATTGTGTAAGTGCAACAAAGAAATCTGAGAGGAGGAGGAGGCCGAGGAGGCATCGGGCAACGGCGGAGAAATCGTAAGGTAAGTGTCTTACATTTTTATGTTATCTAATTATTACTTGTGCAAAATAAAGCATCTGTTCTATGTTTTTATTTTATTTATTCAAATGATTCGAACGAGGAGTCGAATAAGTGTTAGAGACAAAACCGATGTATAAAATTTTGTGAATTTATATTTAAAAGGAAGACTTTCTCAGTATTTTATATAATTATCTTAATAAATACCTATTTTTTAAAATATAAAATATCAAGCATATTTAGTACAATAATTTCGATTTGACACAATTAGACTATACTAATCATATGTACATATTTGTATTTTTACAGTTTAACATACATGATGTACAACTCTGCGGTTGCGAATCGTATCGAGTGATAAATTACTTTTTATTTTAAATTGACGTTGCGCATACAATTACTCCTTTGCATGTATAGAAATTCTTAAAAATATACAATGCTCAACGCGAAGCGCGCGTTTGGTCACCTCTAGTCTTATATTAAGAATGTTTGGTATGTATTTTTGAAATATTGGGAATTTAACAAAAATTTCACAGAGTGTTTGGAAACTTCTAAAAGAATCCGAAGTCGTTTGCTGCACAGCAATCGCAAGTTATAAGAATTTTAATTTGCAAGAAATTTGTGAACCGCGAGGTTATGAAAAACGTGCGACCGTGTGAACTCAAATGACCAAAACGGAGGGGAAAAGTAAAAGTACATTTCTGAACTCTAGCTATAAATACAAATAATAAGATTCTACGCAATATTTGTTGCCCAAATTATTTGTCAAAGTAGAATTTCAAGTTTTTGCTACGATTGTATGTACAGTAATGGACAGAACGTTTGCGACACTTTTTTTAATGAGTTTAGGAACGCGCGTTCAGTTTCAGGTTTACGTTCCAAAACATTTTCTCCGGGGACAATTTTACTCGAGAAATAGATTCGAAACACTCAATAATGGTTTCCGAATGGCTATCGAGTAAAATATTTCTCGGGGAAGAGGATTTTGAAACGTAACGCTGAATCTAAATCACGTTCCTAAACTCGCTAAAACAAAGTGTCGCAACCGTTTTATCACAGTGATGGGCAGAATTGTTGTGACGCTTTTTACTGAGTTTTGGAACGCGCATTTAAATTCAGGTCCCCGTTGCAAGACATTTTTTTCCGAGGAAAATTTTACTCGGGAAATGTAGATCGGAAACGCTTAAAATGGTTTCGAAATGGCCGCTAAAACAAAGTGTCGCAGCCACAAAATATCCTTAAAGTAACTCATTCCACGTTATATCATACATCTCGTCTTGTGCGACACACTTTCTAAGCAATTGATAACCAAATATACATTTTTCAAATTAAAGTTTATGATAGTTTAAGCAGCTAGAGCTGCTCGTGTAAATCGTTTGCCAATTTATTCATTATATTTACGAAGTATATGTCTACAAGATTCACAATTATATTTTCCATTTCTACGGGTGGAATTGCATTCCTACGAAAAGGCCTCGGGGAAAGCCTGGCCCGACCAAAAACCAGATGGTGGGCGGACACGCCAACCACTCGTTACTCGCAGACTGAACGGTAAAGTGAAACCGGTGAATTATGCGTGATCACGTGACTAATCTGAAATATAATACTTATAATTCTGAAGAAGCCCCGGCACCGCGAAGGCGCGAAACATTATACGCGTTCCTTCAATTATACAGTACCCTCCATAAGTTTGGAAACACTTTATAAAAGTGTGTAATATGAAAGAAATACATAATGAAATCGATGTATTTTGCTTTGTAAGTGTTTATTCACCTAAAGAAAATTAAAACGAAGCTACATACATGCGTACGTACGACTTAATAAAGATTTAAATTAAATTTTAGATTCCTCAAAGTAACCACCTTTTGCTTTAATGACTGCCTTACATACTCGCGGCATGCGACAGATTAACTTTTGAAGGAATTCACTCGGGATACGTTTCCATTCTTGCTGGAGAATCTCCCAGAGATGCGCTTGACTCGTAGTTCGCTTTTTGCGAATCCTCCTGTCTAATTCGTTATTTAAACGTACCTATCGTAATTTTATCGTAATTTTTACCGTTAGATCGTTATACAGGGTGTACTAAAACCACCGGATATCCTTTTAATCGCAGATTCCTTAGAAAATTTCGAGAGGAAAATTCTAATACAAAAATGTCGAGGCTATAATAGTTTTTAAATGATGAGCGATTACATTTCACAAATGACAGGCCTGAGATTTCGCGCGCTCAGGCACGGCGACGATAAAAGTGTTCCTATGAATGTCGCCCTTTCTAGTATAGTAACAACCCTTATGGTGACTGATATTGATCGACCACTTTGATAACTGCAACACTTTGAAGTTACAAAATGTTGCAAATTTTTACTTGAATTAAACGAAAGGGCGACATTCGTAGGAACACTTTTATCACTCGTCATCTCGCCGTGCCTGAGCGCGCGAAATCCCAGGCCTGTCATTTGCGACATATAATCGCTCGTTATTTAAAAACTACTGTAGCCTCGACATTTTTGTATTAGAATTTTCCTCTTGAAATCTTCTAAAGGATCTGTGATTAAAAGGATATCCGGTGGTTTTAGTACACCCTGTATAATTATTGTTATTTATCGTATATCGTTATTTAAACGACTTATGATATATTTACAACAAAAGGTGTGCACAGATCGCTGCTGTGCCACTGCTTATCTGTTAAATATAGGACGTTTCCAAACTTATGGAGGGTACTGTATCTCGCGGAT